AAAGGAAGAAGTTAGAGGAAACAAAGGAGAGGTGGGAAAAGCAGGTTGAATATTTACAACGTGCAGTTGCTGACTTGGGAAGTGAAAAAGGTAATGAACAAATTATGTAAAAAAATGTACAAAAAATTATTTTCCATTCATTCCATTTCATTTATTTATTTGGTATACTGTTTACAATTTCTTTATGTTTTTTTTAATAATTTAAATTTCAACTCTTCCTATCTATCAATTTTCAAAATTATTCTTTCATTTTTTTCAATCATCTAGTTAATGAAGGTATGCATCTTTACTGTTTTAATATACTCTTTGTGATATTGGTTAGCTTATTAATTAATTTATAATTTTGATTCTTTAAAATAATATCATGAATTAAAAGCTGATGAAAACATACCACTTTTTTGGAAAACATTACTTGACTCACACAGCTTGGTGCAAAATAACATTTTTTCATTTCCAAATGGCATTTCCTTTTTATTCTGGAAACAACAATCCTACCTTATTAGAAAGAGTTACAATAAGATTTATGAAAAAATTCAAAGTGAAATTCAAGATGAAAATAAAAATGAAAATGCTTCATTATTTCTTGTAACTGGTAGTCCAGGCATAGGAAAGACATACTTCGGTCTTTACTTGTTTTATCATTTTGCAAAATTAAAAAAAGAAATAATTTATCAACATTTCAACTATCCAGAAAGTGTTTATTATTTTTCATCAAAAGAATGTAAAGTTTTTGAGGGGAAAACTCTGAAAGAATTTGCCATGGTGTTAAATCTGGAATCAACAATATACATAGTTGATGGTATGATACCTACAAATTATTCTGCAACAATAATAGTTCTTACTTTACCTAAAAGAAAGATAACAAAGGCTATAAAAAACTGCGGACATGGGAATCTTATTACATGCCAACATGGTCAATAAGTGAAGTAGAAGATGCCTGCAATTCATTATATTATTCTAGATCTATAAATGATGCAAAAGAGATATACGATTTTTGTGGAGGCATTGCTTGTTATATTTTTGAATGGAAAAAGGAAAAAACTCTTCAATAAATGGAGAGTGCAGTTAAAACCTGTGACCTTGATAAGATAATAAATTTTATTGGTGATACTGATGCACCTCATAATACTTCTCACATGATAATGCACATGGTAGTAGACCCCTCAAACTTTTCAACAATACAAAGTTCAATTTGCCTCTTCTATTATCAGAGAAAAAATATATCAAAGATTTCTAAATGAACAAAAGTTTCATTACATAAATTTTTAAAAGCATGTGAAGATGAATCAGTTGCAGGTGGTATTTGTGGTAATCTGTTTGAAGAATTTTCACATAAAATGCTAAAGGGTGGTGGAAAATATGAAATAAAATTATTAGAGTCAGAAGAAGGAAATCCACAAAGAAAAAAACTTGAACTTAACAGTGGAGCATCTGCTTCTTTAATTAATGAATTAAATTTGACTGTGAAAGGAATCTTTAAGTTTTCAAAGCTTGAACAAATAACAACAGAGCATCAAGATTTTATTGTTATCCATCTATACATTCATTTGAATCAATTGATGCATTAATTCCAGGAACTAAATCTTCAAATCACAGACTTTTTCAAATGACAGTTTCAAATTAAACAAAATGTGATTAATAAAGTAATTAAATATCTTAATGAACTTCAGAATGAAACAAAAGAGGCAACTATATTTTGCAGTTCCAGATGAAATTTATTTAACATTTAATAAGCAGAAGTTCCAAACAAAACAAGGAAAAGATGCAGAAAGAATACCACAAATTATATATACATTCTATCAAATAATATTCTCTTAAAAGTTCCATTGGATGCAAATATGATGGCTTCTTAAAATTATGAATGCATATTTTATTCTCTATTTTAATTCTAAATTTCATTTTCTTTTATGTGTACATAAATTTTCATCATATAATTTGTAAGTCTTGTTTTCTTAAATAAAAAATATAAAAAATTTAATTTGTCATTATTTCACAATACTATGATTTTGACAAATATCAAATTTCTCAAAAAACTATAAAATTTATATATCAGTATACAAAAAGTAATAATAAATATAATGGTTCTAATGAATATCAAAAAGCAATTGATTTTTTAGAAAAAAGTTATAAATGTGGTTATTCTTCAAGAGTTTCCAAAGAACAATTTGCAGAAGTAAGGGAAACCTTCAAGTTCTTTCCAAGACATATTTTTAATGGCTCAACTTAAGTCAATGGATGGTGGATCAATAAGCACTAATAGATACCTTAAAAAGAAAGCCAGATCCAACAAAAGGACTTTTATCATAATACACTACTTTTCCAAAAACCTATCTCAATATGTAGGACTTATTTGGAAAACATTAGAAATCATCTAATAAACAATGGTATTCTGCCAATAATTGATGGTAATATTAAAAGGATGCCTCAATGGAAAACCAAAATGGTGATTGATAAAAATATTGCAGAAGTAGTTGAAGAAAATTATGCCAAAGTCCATGGATTATCAGGTCCAGGAAGGAGTATCAATTACAATAGAATAACCCAATCAAATGTATTCTTACTGAAATGAGTTATAAACCAGTACACAGAGATTTTCTAGCTGGTCTAGAAGAAGATAGCAAATTGAAATCTTTAAAATATGATGTATTCAGAAAACCATGTCATCAATTGACACCAGAGATTCAAATTATGAGTCCCAGGACTGACTTGTGTGATACTTGTCAACATTTTAGAAATGGTTTACATTATAATGCTCACCAAGAAGGAGAAACTAAAGAATTACTCAAGAGA